GTTTGGAAGGCTGGGTTAACTTTCGACCATTTCGTGTTTGGTCCCACGAAGCATGTACAGGTTCCTGCCAACTATGCGCTGCAAACTAACAATTTTCCGTGTCTTAATGCAAGATTTTCTATAAAGAGTTCGCGCAAGTGTAATCTCCTATTAGCTCTTTTTGCTTGAACACCAAACTTGCTGCCATACACCTGCCGTAACTTATGTTCGCAAACGAGCTATATTTTCACCGAGAGTGGAAACATTCTGTAAAACAGCTGACCACACCCTCCACTCACGAAATATAGACGTCATCCGTCTAGTCACCTCGTGCGATGTGTATTAGTGCACTAAGTTTAAAATCCCGGATGAAGAGCTAAGGTCCCGCCCGCGCAGTGCTTCCATCGAGTGCACAGCACGGCTAAAGTTCAACGCCAGATTGATCGTTTTTCTTTTAATGTTTTTTTTCGAACTGCTGTGATAAAAACGGAGATTCGGTGTTTTGTTTGATATAAAACTAGCTGGCTTACCCAGCTTCGCTCGGCAGTGTCAAAACACTATGGTAAAGCTCCCTCCCTATCCGTGTACAACCTTTCTCTGTGTCCACTTCTACATGTCAGCTCCCTATTCCGCTGTGTTAGTAATCCGCATGCTCACTTATCTCCCCCTGTGCTAACTCCCAACCCCATGGCTTAGACTTTGCAAAAAAATCGATAAAATCCATAAAAGTAATGAACGATTTTAAAAACTGATATTGTATCCGTAATCAGCATGCCCAACTACCCCCTCTGCCAATTCCAGCCCCGTAGTTCAAGCTTGTCAAAAAATCGATAAAATTGATATCGATCGATAACGGAAAGTAGCCTATGACACCCTCTTCGCCCGAAGTATATGTGTGCCAAGTTTGGTCCAAATCGGTTCAGAAATAAAAATTTCTATTCCGCACATACGTACACATAGAAAGAAGACAATGCATATATATCGTCGATTCGCTTACTGTACGGACTGGACATAACCGCGGAGCACGCGCCGCGAGGTAAAACGCCTGCTCCAATACAAACTCGCCATTGTTAAAATCGTGCTCTCGCGACATTTTAACCGCGCCGCGCGTGGTCCGCAGCGGTTGAGCAGTCCGTACGGCCAACGAATCGACGATACATACAAGCAGATATTCAGCTTTATATAGATAGAGACTAGCTGGCTCACCCGGCTCCATAGCCGGGTGAGCCAGCTAGTCTCTATCTATATAAAGCTCTGCCCGGCCCTGTCAAAACACTGTGATGAAGCTTCCATCCCTATCCCTGTACAGCCTTTTGTGTCCACTTCTACATGCCAGTTCCCTATTCCCCCTGTTCCCGCAAAATTACCTATCCTTTCTTCTTTACTTGAAAATAATGGTGATGAATCTCAAAATTCGATTCAAACTGGCATGTACAACGTACGAAGGCCCCAACACAACGAAATCTTGAAGTTAAAAACAAAGAAAAACAGCATCAAAATACCCTAAGCTATCACTTGGCGTTACATTTCAGCCCGTACTGTGCACTTGGTGTAAACAATCTCAGCCTCATCCAGGATTTCAAACTTGTGTGCACTAACATACATCGCACCGAGATGACTAGATGGATGACCTCTGCTATGTTTATCGTACTGAACTCCTTATAATTCCATTTTTCCCAGGTTTGTCCCGCGCACGGTATATTCCGCTTCGCTTTTCCCCGAGAACGACCAGCTCGTCATTTGCGCCCTAAGTACAATCCTGACCGTCCACGACTTTTGTGTGTATGAAACTACAAAACTACTCAAAGCTATCCATAAGAACACATTGCACTGCCCACACGTGCTGATACAAAGAATCATTGAGATCATTATGCAGAAAAACTCGACATTACCTCATACTCAGAAGAGCATTTATAACTGCACAATTTGCTAGAAAACTGATGAAGGAAGGACCGTTTTGCATACGTGGTAAACGAAGAGTGGTGAATCAAATGTCATGTGTTCAGGGTCGAGCAAGAAGTGTGGCACACAACCGCCGGGTACGACCCCCCCCCCCCCTTCTTAACTAAGTTCTGCTCTGATAGATACCCCCCCCCCCCATTTTCGTTTTCCTGCCGTAGGCATAACACAAAGGTTTTACTTAGCATAGTTAGTAACATATTTGTGATATCATGTCACAGAATCCCTGTGGGCCAAGTTTTAGCGGATTCTTTTGCAATATTGGGCCACCCAAGTGAAGTGGCTTTTCAAACATGATTAATATCCCAAAAGCGAATTAGCTACCTCTTCTTGTACTCAATACAAAGCAGTACTCCCTGTTTGCCTATATCATGGATCCTCTTTCATAAAACCATCAAACTATGAAATCGGAAGCCAGCCAAAATCTCGTCTGTACCATTTTTCGCTTGCAGTGGTAGTGCTTCCAGCAGCTATTACTTAAACGAAAGAAAACGAATTGATCTAATTAATTCTACAAAAACTACGAGATTTTTGCTATCGAACTGTAAATAATTTGATTCCTAAAATTCTCTTGGAGGTAGTTAATGGGGTGTGGCACGACCTCCAAAAAGCTATGGCAGCCACAGCTTTTTAGGGGTTGTGCCACACAGCATAACTTACCTTACCCTTCAAATATCTGCATTTTTTATATCTTCGCTATTGCTCAACCTTCTTCTTTCTTCTAGGAAAAGATATGGTCGTTTTCCCCTTACCTATGAAAATGGAAAATGCTGCGAAAATTTTTGGGTTACGCTAACATGCCTAGTCTGCGCTACTGCAATCGCGAAAGAAGGCGACAAGGATAAATAAAGGATAAGTATATTTGATAGAGTAAGCCTCATAACTTAGATAAAAGTGATTTGAGCCTGACTGGTCCTCTCTAATCTGAGATATCGTGGGCGGAAAATGGAACAAATGAGATTTTGGTTTGCTCATCGTTCCATAGTCTGGAAATTATTCGAAATGGCATTCCTAATGTGGGCAAAGAAGTAGTAGTTCTTTGTAATGAGTGCAGAAAGAAGTAATTGACTCACCTTTGAAACGAAGGTAACATGTTTGAAAATGACTATCTCACTTGGGTTGTCTAATATTTGGAAACCTCAGAATTCGCTGAGACTTGGCTCATAGTGATTATTTGACATTCTAGTTACGAAGATAATGCTCTTATTCTTGAAGTGCTCTTTTACCAAAACTTCAATGTGCTAGTACATTACACAGTGCTTATCTGACATTGTTACTGAATATCATGTTATCGCTGATATCAACTCATCTCGATAACGTCCCCCCCCTTCCCCGACCCCTCACTACGACCCCCCAGGTGTGGCATGCCATACCCCACGCTTGTCCCTGCAAGTGTTCCAAGCTGCTAGCGAATAAAGTATGGCAAACTCTGCATAAAGTAAAAACGAGGTCAACTTTATTAAGCGTCAGTATAACACAATCAGAGACCTAGAGAGAACTACTCAAGATATCAGATTTGGAGGTGTCAGTTTAAGAAAGAACAAATGGATTTTCCTTGTACAATCAGGTGAGAAACAAGCCCTAATATCAATGCTTTCTTCCTTTTTTTCTCTCTCTCTCTCTCTCTCTCTCTGTCTCTCTTTCTCTTTCTCTCTCTCTCATAGTGCACGATCAAAAAGTGTAGAGCTTTACCAGCTGTAAAAAAGCAGCATTTGTAGCATGAAAAAATTATCCAGAGAGCAACGAATGCAATCAGTGACATCAACCTACACTTTTTTTACTTGGCGTTTTGCCAGGATTCTTTTGGACTCTCTGGCGGAGCATGAAAAGCGTAAAAAGCACTAGAATACAGCATGTAATTTGTCAAAAAAGTCGCCGAACTCAACAGAAAATTCCCGAAATCCGCGTCGCACTGGATTATCTCAATTCTGAGTGGCGCCTCACAAAGCTGTATCAAAAATTGCCACGACACTGTTTTATACAGTTTGGTGAGGCGCATCTTTGACAGAAGTGCCCATTCAAAAACGGTAGGCGGTCAGATCTCACGATTTCTATATTTTGCTCACCAAATTACTCAGTGCGTTTATTTGTTGCGAGTAACCTAACGTAGGCAAACCTAAGTAGATTCGTAAAATCTGACTGCTTACTGTATCCGAACGAGCACTTCTCTAAGCAGGGAACGATACTTGGTGACCCCGGCCATTCGTAATGCTTTGTATATCAAAAAATGCGCTTTTTAATGCGAATACTGTTTTCCATATCTGCGAAACGAGAATCTGGATGGAGTTATACTTAATTTTTTTCAAAAGAATTGCACTACTGCGGAGGATAAAAATCATTGATAAAAATTTTGCTTTCCTCTTCAAATGCTAAATATGATTTAGATAGGTATAAATACAGCGTTATACCTTTCAAGATTCTCTTCAGTAGCTTCAAACGGTAATATAGATCAAACTAAGTGTTTTTTAACTACCTAAAAGTAGCAAATTTAATACGAAAAATAACTGTTTCGAGTGCACCTTATGGTATACACCGCATTCCAAATAGCCGGGGTTACCAAGTATCCTTTCCTGGTAAGTCTTGAGATGCGCCTAACTAAGTCAAACATTTTCCCCGAATTCAGAATTTGTCCATTCTGAATCAAGATTGGCGATGCGACAGCTAATTCTGAATCTAGTGGACCTCTGTGACTTTTTGACGAATTATGAGAGGTATCGTATGTGACACTCCCCATTTTCCTTTAATTACCGTTTTACCAAGGGCCTTAGCATAAAAAAGCACTACAAAGGCAAGACTCAACTCGTAACTCGAGTCATTCCACAGACAGGTCTTGGTGTGAACCTTGTTATCGAGTTGTTGTTTAATAAATCATCTGCAGTTTTTTCCACCCACTGTAAGACAACACTAATAAAGAGTAATGAATATTGATTAAAATGAGAATTACTAAGCATTGAACTCCATTTCAGCATTGTGAACTAGTGTGCAGTCAACGAAAAAGAAGAAAGAACACGCATTTGTGAATAATGATGCTAATCACTGTAGTCAAACAGCTATCAACGTACCTGACATAATTCGCCTGCCACCAGGTGAGATATTCACCAAGTCTAGGCAGCGATAGTACAAAAAATGCCGAAACCAGAATGAGGGTATCAGATGCGGACAGGACGGCCAAGTACCAGTTGATTGACGAAGAAGACATGAGACGATGAGTGAATATACGTACGGAAGTGAGATTTGCACAGAAACCAAATACGATTATGGGTAACGCAACCAGCCCCAGCAGTATACGTTCAGGAAATTCGTAAAACTGATATTCGTAGTGACAAGCACAAGATGTGTTCATTACCAAACACATGCTTTCACTTGAAGGGGCAATGGCATCACCGAAAGTGGATGACGATGCGTTCTCCATGCCGAGCTATATTGCTTTTGGAGAATAAAGTGGAATGAACAGATTAAAGTGTTGACAAGTAAGGAAGATGGATGCGGGAAGGGAGGGTCAAAAATTGGCAGTTTCCGGATATCGCTCTGCGTAGCGTCGATCTCGTACGTACTTCACGTTCACCAGTCTTCCTGAAATTATCCTCTAAGAAACAACAAACCGTCAACGTTATCAATGAGCGATAAAGAGCAAAGAGTAGTACAGAACACTTAAAGGTTAGCTTTACTCTCCGCATTCCTCATTAGATTAGAGGCTAAGAAAAGGTGAGTGAAAGAAGAAAATTGGAGGAAGTTTTCCCTAACGTATTCAGACAGCGTCATAGTTTATCTCCACATGCAGATAAAAAATATACTCAAAAATGTAGACGCTTCTCATAAAAACAACATCAGGTAGTTTCTGAAATTTTATTACCTTCACGAGAAGTGAAGATAATGTTCTCGCGTTTCAATTGTCGGCTACTGTAGCGTATATGTAGGTGTACAAGGAAACCGGATGTCCTATTTTTTGTTGATCCTTCAAAGATTGAAAAAAACTCATTCAAATACCAAGAGCCTTGCGCTGCATTCAGTGAGCTCCTCCAAATTTTTAACACTGCATATGCTTCAGATAAAGTATTCTGAAACCGTTAACAGCGTATCTTGCTAATTCTCTCCTCTTAAGTTGCAAACATAGGTGCGATAGTGTGAGAATTTTCTCACCCCCTCTTCACCCCTGAACCGGGACCAAGATGACCCCCTTCACCAAAAGCCGAGGAAAATCAACAGTGAGGTAAGGTTAGGCAAAAGAGATATTTGTACGGGATTTGTTTGTGTATCGGAAAGCAGGAAGAAGATTTATAGGCATTTACGAACTCTGAGGAGGAAAAGAATAGTAGCTCCTGTAGCTGAACAGGAACGTCAGCGAGAAAAGTTCCGTGGTGTTCCCCTCTGGTTTCAGGAAATAAATAGTTTGCCTATGCCTAGTGATTTCTGGACACGAGTCTTCAACAGGAAAAAAAATTCATAAATTTTGCGGATGAATAGCTAGTACATGGACATAGTCACCATCGGAGCGCCTCGTCTCCCGTTTTCAGAAATTATACAGCATGTCTGAGATCCGTTCGAAAAAGTGCCTGGTGAAGGGCGTGCCTTGTGATTTCTAGGGATTCTCGAGTTTTTAGCATTAAAAAATTCATAACTTCTGAAGATAAAAAGCTGGTACAAGGAAATAGTCACCGGCGAAGCCACCTCGTCCTCCGCTTTCAGAAAATATATAGCATGCCTGAGATCCATTAGAAAAAGTACCTGGGTGAAGGGTGTGCCTAGTGATTTCTGAACTTCGAGCTTTTAACATTAAAAATAACTTGTTCATGAACATCTTGTAAGCCTAGATTGTCACCATTGAAATCGCTTCTCCCCTTTTAGAAAATATAGTTTGCTTGGGGTACGTCGGAAAAAGTCCGGGTGAAGGGTAGGTGAGAATCTTATAATAGGAGTTCTCAAGTAGACATTCTTTTACAATGGTAGAAAAGCCTCCATCTGAGAACTCCCATTACAAGAGTCTCACCCACCCTTCACCGGGCACTTTTTCAACGAACCCCAGGCAAACTATATATTTTCTGAGGAGGACGAGGCGGTTCCAACGGTGATTATTTCCTTGTACAAATTATTCTACAGAAGTTATGATTTTTTATCCTTAGAAGTAAATATCCAGAAATCACCACCCACACCCTTCATCAGGCATTTTTTTCCAAAGACCCCAAGCATACTATATATCTTCGGAAAAGCGGAGGACAAGGCGGTTCCGATTTCTACCATTTCGGCATATAAGATCTTCATCTACAGAAGTTATGATTTTTTATCTAACTCGTAAATATTTGGAAATCACTACCCACGAGCTTCGCCAGGCACTTTTTTGAAATAACTCCAGACAGACTCCCAGACAAACTATATAATTCCTGAAAGCGGAGGAGAAGATGGTTCTGAAAACAATTTCCTTGTTGCTGTTCATCTACAGAAGTTATAAATTTTTTCTTTCAAAAATTTGTGAATGCTCAAAAATTGTTTACCTCTTTCCCGAAACATGTTTTTGCATACTCATCTTCTACTCTATGGTACGAATACAGACAGGATGTTTCCAATCCTACTTTCTTCACAAATAAGACAGCAAATGATGGTAGAGAATTGAAAATGATAAAAAGTTGATTAGGGAGAACGATGAGAGAACACCATCACTCCCCTCCCACACCCCTCGGTCGACATTTTACAATTTCTCGATCAAGTGAAACACCCTTCACCCTGGCGGGGCTGCGACCACTATGACCCCCTTCACCCTGGAGGAGTTACTCTCACCTTATCGCACCTATGGTTGCAAAACCCTTTTACCTTGAAGAAATTCAATGAAAGATATAAGAAAAATTTTGGACCATGTTTTTGAGCACATATTCGCAGGCTCATGAGTTTTTAGTATTAGGTTGGTACATAAGTTTTGCAACTTTTCCCATAACATTCTTCCTGCTAAATGGAGTACTCTCATTTTTTGGCATTAGAGTGTGAATTAAGCTGCAAGTCTTCGCAAACTGTTTGATTTATAATAACGCAGTAGAAAAAAATCTAAGCATTTTCCCAAAACCTTTGAAAATCGAGGTTACACGGTTTTTTGACAAACATAAAGCCCTACAAAAAATGAACAAAACATGTAAAAAAGGAAATATAGGCAGCATGCAACTATAAGCTGACACATTAGACTTAGTAAAAAAAAAGAAGTGAAATTTAAAGACAAACTAAGATAAGGCGCCTTTGAGAAGTAGAAGAAGCCAAATGCGTCAAATTTTGAGGGCAATCTGTTAATAACTAAGCTGCGAAACCACAGAATTTGCTTAAACTTTGCACAATAGGGTAATTCAATACGATGAACACGAATATCATACTCATTTGTCAGTAAGACAACATTCATTTTTTTGACCTTACAAAAGAGGCCTTTTTATGGAAACGGGCCTCATTTTTATGATCAGCATACCGAATAACTCCCATAGGAAAAATTCCAGCAAAATCTGACGTAATCTTAAAATTTCCATTGTACTGTAAACCTACCGTAACCCTCACATAAGATAGCAAAATTCGGCAAAAAATGTTCGCATTTGCAGTTTACATCATAATCCTTATATTGCCAGAAAATGAATGCACTACGTTCAAAAAGACAAAAGTTATTTAAAATGTTGCATTACTTATGTGCCAACCTAATAAATCAAGCAGCATCAAAGGAAGTTCCACTTGACTTTGAGAAACAGGTCATAGAATCTTATAGACAACAAAATCATCCTAGCATTATTCCACCTTTGCAATCCCTATCTCTTATGGCCAAAGGTTCAGATTCAACTGCATAGGAATTTCGTCAGTGACGTGACTTAAATTAATGTATTTGAATTCTTATGTTCTTGATTGCGAGCATTTCGATGCGTATATCAAGGAAAATTGTACTAGGTAATTTTGAGCACCACTTTCCTATCAGTTTGAAGACGCAGTAAGTGGTGAGCAAGGAGTCTCATTCGAAATAACATGAGCAAATAAACAGTTTCATCATAAAAGGTAGGAAAAGTTGTCGATTTGAAGTATTGGCAGAAAATGTCACGTTTTTACTATATCAGCTCAAAGAACCATAGGTTCTTTGATATGGTATGATCTCGGTAAATCAATTCTGAACAACAAAAATAAACTTATATGTGAATGAAAAAAACCCCTCCCTCTTCTAGTAATAAAAAGTAGGCTTTAGTCGAGAGAGTTGTCCAATACAGAGGAATGTCTCTTTATACAGAAGAAAACTGGAGCACTTAAAAGTAAGCCACGGTCCGAAAATTCGTACCTTTTCAATAAATTCTATTCTTCATATCTTGATGGACTTCCTTGATTTTGTTTGTTTGGAAGAAAAAAATGTGCGCTTCACAGCTTTTTTGTGAATTAATATAAGTAAATGCGAAAGACAAAAGGGAATGGGTAAACTACTTAAAATTGACACTTTCCAGTAACGCCACCAATATACTGAATGTCGTTATGTTTGGAAGCGAATGTATGCGCATATATAATACCTTTGCCGTAGATTAGTACATAGAAATGCGAGAGTTGAAAGCAGTTGAAGTAAATTACTCAAAACTCAATTTTTTCAAGCAAGTTCACTAAGGGCCGCACGCATTAACATCCCTATTCGGGGGAGGGGGATCGCAGCTCAAAACACAGCTTCGTATCTTAAGCTTCGAACTTCTGGATTCCACGCTATCTATCCGTAAGTATTTCTACCATCCTCCACTATGAACGTATTGAATAGGAGCGAGGTGTACAAGCCGCATTTTCCAGTTGTTTTTTTTGTATGACCCCCTGATGATCCTTGGCGGCAGACCGTCATTTCTACAAAGTCATTTTTCTCTCTCTCTCGAAGTTAACGAAAACCTCTCAAAGTTGTATTGATTGTCTATACGACAGTGCTGAGCATGTTGCTAATAAGAACAAATGAGTTTTGAGATATCAATTTTTCGAAAACCCCCAACTTTCACTCGTTTTTCATCGCAAATTTTATGACTCTAATACATCATTTGTTCTCGTCATAAACATGCTAAGCACTGCTTAGCTAGATGATGTGTACAACGCTGGCAGCTTCTCATTAACTTCGAAGAAAGAAAAATGACTTTGAAGAAGAGACGGTTGGCAGCCGGGATCACTAGGGGATCATACAAAAAGCTGGAAAATGCGGCTTGTACAATAGTGAAGGATAGTAGGATTACCTATGGGTAGGTAAGCAGCGTGAGATCCAGAAGTTTGGAGCTTCAGGTATAAAGCGTTCTGTTAAGCGATCCCATCCTTGGCGGGGATGTTGATTCATGCGGCTCTAAAAATCTTGAGGCCTTGGGCCTATATGCACTACATCTCCGCTGGAGAGGGGAGGGTATCTGAGAGGGGATGCGTCATATCTCGCCACTCTAAATGTCTTTCTTTTTCCTTCTCCATCTTGTTTGTGAAGGTTCTCATACCCTTATAACTGCGCATAGTGGGTGCCAGGTTACTGCCATAAAAGACTGGTTTTTTGCCATTGGTTTTTTGCCATTTTGTGTGATCCTCTGAGAATCCCCTAGGGATCCGTAGGGGATCACCTTTCATTTTCA